AGTAAACACTTCACTGCACAGCGTCTCACGTGCATTCTTGCAACCTGGTGATGTGAACAAAGGATAAAAATAGCTACTCGGGATGCCTCCAAGTTAGCAAAAGGAGTTGGAATTCCAGATTTTATTTTATTTATTATTTTATTTTATTTTATTTTATTTTTCCTTTTTGTCTTTTTTCGTGTCTGGCAACGGATCGCAACCCTCAGTGTTGCGCCCGTACTGGACCAGGACCGGCAATGGGATCGGAACCCTCGGTGTCACGCCCGCACCTCGCTCAGCCAGTGAGTGGGAACCAGTCTGTATGTGGGATCCGAACCCTCGGCGGGAGCGCCACCGCGCTTACAAGCAGCGCACTGTAGCAGTGCGCCACGGGGCCAGCCCGGAATTCCAGATTTTAGAGCTGCTTTCTGGAATCCTCACGTATTAATGTAGCAGAAATGGGGGTGGAACAGCAGGAATGAGGTTGGAGCTATAGAGTCAAAAATGGTCAAGGACCAAAGAACCATCTATTGGAGTTTAGAGTTTGGGGAAACCATGGAAATCATTGGCTCCAGCCCTGTCAGATGGAGACTGCTCAAGAGGCAGCTTGTCATCAGCAGAGCCAGTGCCTCAGTCCCCCCACCCTACCCCCAGCTGTGTCTCACTGCCTCAGACAGGAAACTAAGTGGGGGGAGGGTGGACTGTATAGTCATGCGTCACTTAGCGACAGAGATGTATCCCGGGAAAGGCGTTAGGCGATTTTGTCACTGTGCAAACATCTTAGGGTGTGCTTCACACAGTCCTGGGTGGTATAGCCCACTACAGACCTATATATATGGCACAGCCATTATTACGTTATGGGACCATCACCATGTATGCACTTCATCACTGAGTGAAACGTCATTATGCGGTGGATGACTGTCGTTGGAATTCAGCCAGGAGCCAGGTCCAATTAATTTGTAAACGATGTGAAGGAGCTTGTAAAGATCATGTTACTCAAGATGGTAACTCAGCTTAAAGGTCTCTTTCCACAATGAACCCCATCACAAACGCACAAATCCTCAACACCTACGTCAGAATGGAACGATACAGGTCACAGGGCCACATTTCTGGAGGTGGCAGACTCCCAATGCTTTTTATCCTTCCTTAGAATTGTAAAGTGGGGGCAGAGGGAGAAGCATTTGCTACTGTAAAATATAGCCCCTGCCCCTAAGTCCATGTGTGCTTGCAGGGAGGGGGTGCGGAGATAGGTGAACTATTTCAGCTTAGATTAGTGTACAAAACAAAAATTACAGTGTACGTGTAACAGATTATATAGAATGATATAAAAACAGATGAAGGAATAATATAAAGTGCCTGGGGGTGATGAGCTGGGCTTCCAGAGAGAGCAGGTGTCATCAGGCATCAGAGGGGGCCGTGGTGTTTCCAGCAGAGACCAACCGACTGGACCCGGAGGGGTGAGTGCACGGGCTGTTCCAGAACAGTCCCCTAGATGGGTGAGGTGGGAGACGGGGGTGGAGGGTGGTGGGAAGTGGGCCTGAGCGGTGGGGGAAGAATCAGGAACATTTAGCTCTTTCCTCTGAAATCCCAGCACGTGCCACATCATACCCCATAGTTCCTAGGAAGTTTCAGAGGTCCTAATGAGAGTGAGAGATTGATTCTGATTTTTAAAAGAAAAAGATTTTAAGGTCCTAGCACAGGAGATATAAAAATGTGTCACAGAGTCCCTGTCTGCGAGAAACCACAGCGGTGTATGGGTTAACATTCTTCCACACATTTAGACCCTATGTGGAAAATATAACCATTCAAAAAAAATCTTCTGTCCAGATTGTTTTAAAGTATTGCGGAGGGAAGGTAAAAAATATTGGCCTATTTAGTAACGAACTATAGAAATGATCCCTGAAAGTATAGTCTTAAATATTGGCCTATTTAGGACATAAGATGCCTCTCATTTCCTAGACGGTCGTTGGGAGCAGTTATGTTGGTACCACCTGGATTTGCGCATGTGCCACAAGGTCATCAGGTAAAGTGATCCATCACACTGTGGGTACAGGAAATAATAAACCATGGCTTGGTGCTTTCTTGTATCTAAGGTGAGTGAGAGTGGGAGACGTTCAGAGTAGGGGTCATTGGATAATCTGGGGTACCTATTGTCCGTTTCTGTTGCTTATAACGAAGTACATGGAGCTGAGATTTATTGCTTACAGTTTCGGAGGCTGGGAAGTCCAAAGTGCAGGCAACACATCTGGGGAGGGAGGGTCTTCCTTGGCAGTAACATGGGGGTCTCACACGGCAGAATGGCAGAGCATAGAGAGAGACTCATGCACTCTCCTTTTAAAACCCTCAGAACCACACCCATAACCACCATTATAAATTCACTTCTTAGGGCATGGTCCTCAGAATCTAATCACCTCCTCAAGGCCCCACCTTTCAATTACCAGTAGGATTTTCCACCCTCAACAAATACAGTGGGGAGTAAGCTTCAGTGACTTTGGGGGCCAGTCTATTGCACTGGGTATTAAGGTTGCTTCCAGCCATATGTACAGAACACCCGACTTAAAAGCAGCTTACAGAACATGCGTTCTGTTTCCACTACCTCCTATTCACCCTGGGAGAGGAAGAGATTCCCACGTTGGGATGATAGCAGTGACCAAACGCACAACACCCTACATTGGACAGAGGAGATGGAAAGCAGGTTATTAGTCGCCTGTACTAGGAGCTCTGGGGCAGAGGACACTGCACCGTACAGGGCTACGTGTGGATTGCACTTGGGAGCAGAGTGAACAGGCTGTGGGAGGCAGTTAGTGGTAGCAAAACGGCGGGGTGCCCCAGCTTCCCACTTGTGATCAGCATTTCTGAACAGTCCTGTGGGCTGGTAGGGAAGTGAAGCTGCTGCATGGGGATAGGCAGGATCTGTGCCTGGTCCCCTGGATGAAGTTGGCCTTCGTCTGGGGGCCCGTTCGTGGCAGTGGAATGAGGAGGTCAGGGAACTTGCAGCTAGGCTCATGAGGCCCTCCCAATTTCACCAGATGTCAAGGCAGCTTCTAATCTTAGATCTTACCCTGCAGGTTTATTAGCCCGTGTGACAATAAACACTGAGGGGGTAAGATCCAGGGTTGATTAATTATGCAGCTTCGGGGGCCACAGCTTGGTACCAGCCTTTCCCTCAGCATCACTGTCTGTCACTGCCACAGGTCCCAGGAGGAGATTTCCTCCTTGCATGCCCTCCCTTATTTCTCAGGGAGGAAAATCTGTCTGTGGCCCCTGGTGACTTCTCCCTGATCTCAGCAGAACCAGTTCCATCCCAGTAGACTTCAGCCGCAGAGAGGAATGAGATTCCCTTTACTTAGCTGAGACCAATTACCACTCATCTCTGAGGGCCTGACCTGTTTCCTGAGCCCTTGCTGCCTTGCAAGGAAGAAGCAGACACAGCTGTGGGGCAGGCCACCACCAGTGCCCCATCCTTATACCAGAGCGAGGCTGGGAACAGCAGAGTTCTAGAAAGCACAGCTGAGGCACCTCACACCTCTGTGCTGACACTTGGATCCCGTGGTCTGAGAGGTGGAAACATATTTGTGCAGACCACAAAGCTGAATGTCGTAATCTGATGACTGATTAGCTGTGTCTGTTGGTTTGTGTCTATAAAAGCTTTTGTCAAATAGTCTTAAGGACTGGCCGGCTAGCTCACTTGGTTAGAGTGCAGTGTTATTACACCGAGGTCACGGGTTCAGATCCCCATACTGGCCAGCCCCCACCCCACCCCAACCCCCCAAAGAAAAAATAGTCTCAGATATGGAGACAGTTTTTGCAACAGGGAAAGAAGGTAGATATTAAAATTGATGTCCCTCTCCAAAGGCTGAGTGATGGTTTGTTAAAAAGTCCTGCTGTGAATTCTCTTTGTCTCCCACCAGTCCTTTGCAGGAGCCTCCTTCCCTCTCTCCTTTCTTGCCTGGCATACAGTCCACAGCAGCCAGAGGCAGCCTCACTAAATGAGATCCTACTCAGAACCTTGCACTCAAAGTCTGAACTCCTAACCACCTTGCGTGGTCTAGCCCATATGACGAATGGCAGAGGAGGAAGGTGACAGGTGGCATGGTGGCTGAACCTGTCCATTGCCTCCTGAAATCCTTCCCCCTCTCCCTTCCCTGCTGCCATAAGCCCATTTTTCTCAAGTCTCAATCGAGTTCCCTTGAGCTCACGAATGTAGGTCCAGACTTGGTCTGAGGGGGGCCTATGGCCCAGTTCTGGACAATGAGGTGACACCTGTTGGAAACTCTTTGGAAAGGTTTTTTCCTTCCATATAAGAGGAAGATAAATGAGGAGAAATGCTCTACCCTGAGCTGCCCCCACTTATCTTCTTTGAACATGATGTGTGTGATGTTCGGAGCAGCTGCAGCCACCTTGTAATCACGAGGGGAAGGTCAAGAGAATCTCAGACACACAAGATGTGATGTTATTAAGCTACCAAACTAATGTCAGCAACTACCTTACTTATTTAAGAAAAAATAAACCACTATTTGTTTAGGCCACCACTACTTGGAGGATCTCTTACTTGCAGCTGAAAGGATTCCCACCAGACACAAACAGGGTGCTGTGGGAGTGCAGAGGGGGACTTCGTGCAGGGGAGGTGGCATCTGAGCTCAACCTTGGAAGGTGAATGGGAGAAGAGCATTCCAGGCTGAGGGTACGTAGGAGCAAAGATGTTGATGTTAGGGAATAGCACATTTGAGGCAAATCCCCATTTGGCTGGGACATAGGGGAGGTGAAGAGCACGGGACACTGCCTTTGCCACTTTGACAGAGTCATTTCAACTCCAGAGGCAATGGGAAGCAGCCTCTCTCAGTGGCTCTTTTGACGTAGGGACTGTATTAGTTTGTTTCTGTTGCTTATAACAAAATACTCGGAACAGGGTAGTTTGTAAGAAAACAAGATTTATGGATACAGTGTTGGAGGCTGGGAAATCCAAAGTCCAGGGAACGCATCTGGTGAGGGTCTTCCTTGGTGGTGGCTTCAGCGACACAGAGTGTCACATTGCAAGATGGTGGAAGCAGAGAGAGAGAACTTCTCAAGCGCTCTCCTTTGAAAGTGCTCAGAACCACGCCCAGCCCACGCCCACCATTAAACCATCAACTTAATCACCTCTTCTTTCTTTTCTTTTTTTCCTTTTTTGTAACCGGTAAGGGGATCACAACCCTTGGCTTGGTGTCACCCGCGCCGCGCTCAGCCAGTGAGCGCACCGGTCATCCCTATAGAGGATCTGAACCCGCGGCGGGAGCGCTGCTGCACTCCCAAGTGCCGCACTCTACCGAGTGCGCCACGGGGCTGGCTCAGGCCCCACCTTTCAATGACCATAATAGGATTTCCCACCCTCAACAGTCACAGTGGGGGTTAAATTTTGGGGGGACATTCAATCCAAGGCAGGGACATTTCAAACACTCTGAAACACAAGTGCCAAATATTCTCTTTTTCCAAAATGAAAGCAATTATTTTTTATTCTGTTTATAAAAGTAACGAATTAGCATCAAAGGATAATAAAACAACACTAGAGGTGTAAGAAAATTACAATCGTACTGCCTAGAGATCACCGTTGCTATGATACTTGCTGTATATTCTCCCAGATCATAATCTGTTGCTGTTTTATAGCTTTTTAGAGAACTTAATGCTTTAATGTGGACCACTTTCTATGATATGTAGATCTCAGATAGATCAACATTCTCTTGTTTAATTATTGGGGAGCGTTTGTTATTAGGATCCTGGGGGGTGTATTTAATCAACTTGCTGCTGATGGCCATTTGGATTACCTCTGGTTTCCCACGGTGATAGCTGTGTGGCCCTGTGGGATCAGTCAGAATTACAGAAACACAAACCTGCTGACTCCAACAAGGGAAATTATTGCTTACGTCAATAAAACAGCCAGAAGTCTCTGGCGTGGGGTGTGAATAGCTCTAGGACTTTGCTGTATGCTCTGAATTCTCAGACCAGCTGTCCCTCTCATGGTGGCAAGATGGTTGCTAGGACCCTAAGTGACGACTATCTTCTCAGAAGAAAAAGCAAGCTTTTCTTTTTTTTTTTACATTGGTTTCTATAAAATCCTCAGAATAAAATCTCATTTACTCCCATTGGCGTGGCTGGGGCCAAGTGCCCAAGTCAGAGCCAATCACCGTGGCAAGGTGACTCGTGTGACTGAAGGGGTCCAGATCAGGGCCCAACTCTAGAGCCAGGGATAAGGGGCTGCACCAGGAAACCATGCTGGAGAGCGGTGGGGCAGAGGGGCTCCCGAGGACATGGGACCCCTGTACTAGGAGAGCAGTAGGCAGTGAGCGGGGGAAACCACGACGTCCCCACACGCACACTTGTCTGAATAGGACATCCTCCCCGTGTGCAGCGGCTCCCGAGGAAGGACTCCAAAGAGACAGCTGACCTAACAGCTCCATGTGCCCAGAGGACTCCAGTCTCTGCCACCGTGAAGGGGGAGAGGATATTGTATTGTCAGGACTGTCCAGAGAAATGACCAGTAGGATGTGGTGCGTGTCCATGTTTATAAGGACACTAATCCCATTCACGAGTCCTCATGATCTAATCACCTCCCGAAGGCCCCACCTTTCAATGACCATAATAGGATTTCCCACCCTCTTAGCAGTCACGGTGGGGGCCAAGTTTCTAATACATAAAACTTGGGGGACACAATTCAAGCTTCAGTGAATTTTGGGGGGGACATAATTCAATCCACTACATCCTTGTGTGTGTGTGTGTGTGTGTGTGTGTGTGTATAGTCATCTCTCAGTATCTGTGGGGGATTGGTTCCAAGACCCCCATAGATACCAAAATCTGCAGATGCTCAAGTCTCTTATATAAACTGGCATAGTATTTGCATATAAACTACACACATCCTCCCACATACGTTTAATTATCTCTAGATTACTTATAATCCCTGATACAATGTACATGTTATGTAAGTAGTTATTATACTGTATTGTTTAGGGAACATGGCATAAAAAAAGTCTGTACATGTTCAGTACAGATCCATCCACAGCTGGTCGAATCCATGAAATCGGAACCCATGGATACAGATTGCTGACCGTGTATGTGTGTGTTTGTACACACACACACACACACACGCACACACACTCACTCACTCACACACACACATTTATTATAAGGAATTGACACATGACAACGGAGGCTAAGAAGTCCCAAGATCTGTGGGGCAAGTCAGCAAGCTGAGGACCCAGGAGAGCTGATGGTGGAGTCCCACTCTGGAGGCTGGCAGGCTCCAGACCCCCAAAGAGCTGGTTTTTCAGTTCAAGTCTGAAGGCAGGAAAAAAATGATGCACGGGCTCCAGCACGAGGCAGGCACGAGGGGCTCCCCTTTACTCTGGGGAGGGTCAACCTCTGTTCTACGAAAGCCTGCAGCTGACCGGGTGACCCCACCCACACTGGGGAGGGCAGTCTGCTTTCCTCAGTTTACCATGCACATGTTTATCTCATCCAGAAACACCCTCACACACACCCCCAGAATGATGTGTGCCCAAACGCCTGGGCACCTTGTGGCTCAGGCAAGTTGATGCTTAAAATTTACCATCACAGATACGTGACCATCTTCCATTAGCTGCCAAAGATCCGGCAGACGCTTTGGAAACAGGACTCTTCTCTAGGCCAGATCAAAACAGACCCTTGGCTTCCTCCCCCTCTAGGACTACGGGGACCCGTGTGACCATTTACTCCCTTCACTGCTCTGGCCAGAAGGAGGTTGTGTCTCCACTTCACTGCAGGGCACGGTCCGGGGAGTTAAAATTCACACTCCTGTCCCTATGCCCCAATGGCAACTCCCCTGTTCTTTCTGATTTAGCCCCTGGCCTGCTTGTCTCTGCAGCCAGGGGTCCACCTGGGAGATACTGTTCTGGGAGCTCGCATTCCTGGGGTCTGGGGGTGGGCATGTGACACAGGGAGTGCACTCCATGCAGGGTAGAGGGGGACAAGGTCACCTGGGCCAGGCAGGCCTCAGGAGCAGGTGACCAGAGGAAGCTGCTGGGGAGAGAACCCAGCCTCCGCCCTGTCATGCTCTCGGATGTGGTGGCTGGCAAGGCTGTGCAGGGTCACTTCTGTTCCTCCAAGGCTGGCATCACTGTCCTGACACTGTCCCCACGATTCCCACCCGGCCCTTGCTCCCCTTCCCTGCTCCTAGGATTTGGATCCACATCCAGGTGCGGGTTTGCAGGGAACGAGTCAGAACCTCGCAGGAGGGCGCGGTGAGGCGCAGGGAAGGGCAGCCAAGCCCAGGGCCGCTGGGGCAGGCGACCGCTCGCCGCGTTGTCCCCGGGCCGGCCCAGCTGGGCGGCGGAGCTCGGGCGTCCCCTGGTGGTCGCGCTGGGCAGCGCGTCCCGTCCAAGGCGGGTGCGCAGCGCCCTCTGCCGGCCGCCGACCGCTCTTCTCCTTTCCCCCGCGTCTTGCCCTGGGGTTGGGGGGGGGGAGGGGTTCTGATATTATCCCCATTTTACAGTTGAGAAAACTGAGGCTCAGAGAAAGTAGGTCATTTTTCCCAGGTTATGAATTGGGGCATTTTGACTGCAGGGTCTGCGTTAAGTCCAAGCTAGCTAATATGACCTCTAGTTATGTCAACAAAAATGTCTTGTGGACAGTCGTTTCCTCTGCCCCCCTGATCTGACGACTCCAGAGAGCAGGACACCCCACTTCCGGAAGATCATCAGCAAACGCCAAGATGTTTAGAACGGCAGGGGACTCAAAATCCCAGTCCTGTGAGGAATAACTGAAAGAATGGGTCACTTTAGGCTGGAGAAGGGGCTTAGGGACCGTGACAGAGCTCCATGCACCTGAAGGGCCACCGTGGGGAAGAGGGTCCCAGAGTGTCCCAGGACCTCGTGGTGGAGACTGCAGGTGGGCAGCCTTCTGCAGTCCAGAACATTCCACTGGCCAGGGCTGTCCTCCAGAGGAAGGTGCAGCCTCATGAAGCAGACGCACCTGCTCGCAGGGGCCTGGACACACCTGCCTGGACTCCAGCTGGGGGACACTGGCTGGCTGGAGGAATCCGAGCCAATCTGGGGAACTGGTAAGTGGGAACAAGACGGGGGCATGGGCAGGGCTGTGGCGTGGGCAGGAGGGGCCTCGCTGGGCTGCAGCGCTCCGGGAGGTACAGGTGCAGGGCCTGGTGCAGGGCTGGACCGGAGGCAGGTGCCACCCATGCAGTGGAAATGAGGGACAAGAGTGTGGAAAAGGGTGTCACAGGCTGAGTTCTCCAGGAGGCAGCCCCTGAGTCAGTTAGGGGAGCGGAAGATTTACTGGGGAGAAAGACCAGCAGGGCAAAGGTGGGAGCCGGGGACGAACCACCACGTGGACCTGCTGTGCCCGTCTCTGGCAGTGCAGTGGGCACCCGGGGCTGACGCTGCTCATCAGAGGAGCCTGCAGTGGGCAGGAATGGCCAGGCCCTGGCACCCCCGCCTAGCTCGGTCACTGGCTGGAGAGATTGAGGAGACTATGACCTTGACCTTGGCTCGAAGGCCGGGGCAGGCGCTGAAGACCTCCTGGCAGCTGGGTGTGGCCTTCCTTCCATCTCAGGGCCTGCCACGCACAGCCAGGTGACCCCAGCCAGCCATGAGGCCAGGCCTGAAGCCAGACCTTGTCCCCATGGCCCAGGGCTTCCCCTCCAGGCCACACCAGCACGGGGTCAGACTCCCCCTTGGGGCTGCCCTGCAGGCACAGGGGTGGTCTCCTGCTTGACCCTCCTAGGGTGGACCTTTCAGTCACTCAGAGAGGACGGTGTCCCCCGACTGTCTGGGCCCCTGATAAAGACTGGGATTGGTTTCTTAGGGTAGTCCTGTCCCTTGTGCCTTGAGGAGGCCCTCAGGGCAAGGGCACAGCGTGGAGGTGGGTGCTGTGTGCAGTTTGGTGTGACTGGGGGGAAACCATGGAGTGGAAGTGGCCGGATGGGGAGGCCACCTGCCTCTTTCAGGGTGACACTGTCACACTGCGGCCACAGAGGTCTCCCTGACCCCACCGGTGTCTGTCCACTCATCTGCCTTTCCATCAGTTACATGCAGCAGTAAAGGCCACCACGGGCTCCAGGGGACACTGGGGACACCCCTCAGGATGCCCAGCCCCCCTTCCCGGCTGTCACCCCCACTTTCCTCTGACCCGGGGGTCCCCCCTGCCCGGGGAGGGGCCCAGCCCACTTGCTGGTGTTGCTGGGAGGACTGGACACGGGGATGAGCACGTGAGAGTCCCCGGCTCGGCTAGAGGTTATCCCCGCACCCCTGTCCCCTCCACGCTTTCCTTCTATCCCTTGCTCCTCTTGGTCCCGAGGCTGGCACAGGGTGGATGCAGTCACTGAGAACTGCTTTTCTTCTCCCTAAAACACAAAAACAAGCCAGGTCTGCTGTGCATGATTTCTCTACCCCCAAGAAACCCTGATTGGGTTGGGGGATCGTCCCCAACTCCTCACCCCAGCCTCTGAGAGCTTTGACCTCCAAGGGTAGGATCCTAAAACAACCCAGTCTGCTGGAAGGTGCCGTGGTGGGGGTGGGCCCCAGAGCCCCTGGCAGGTGGCAGCCCCCAGCTTCCTCTGCAGTCCCCACCAGGTGTCATCCACCTGGCCCGAAACTGGGAAAGATGCTGTCCCATGGGAGTTCGGGGGGTCCCATGTCAGAGGACTGGAGAGCCAGGGCACATGAGTGAGAGCTGCCCAGAGCAGTGGTCATCTGCGTCAGGATCTGGCCCGTGACACCTGGTCTGGGTGTTGAAAACCCCAGATCAAATTGCCCCCCCTCCAAGCATAGTACCCCCAAGCTCACCCGGCCATGTCCTTTCTCTGCTGCTTGGGTTGGGACGTCAATGTTTGATTGCAGGATGTACTCAGCACTTGCAGAGCACCTACTGTGTGCTGGTGTTGTGCTGGGTGCTGGGGACACGAAGAGAAATACAGCACAGTCTCTGAGCACGGGTCACCTCCTGGAGCGCAACCCGGGGAGTCCATCTGCACGTTGCTGTGTTTATGTGCCCACGAGTCCTTCTCTAACCCTGGCTGGGCTGAACTTTTTCCTCCAGCCGCAGGACCTGATAATCTTGGCTCCCAGTGAGCTTTTTGCAGCCAGTGCCCAAATTTCCCCAGCAAGATGGTTATGAAGCCAGGTGTGCTCTCCCGGGTGGTCTGCCACGCCTAGCTGGGCTCCCAACCTGGGTGGCACTAAGTGGCTTTTCCTGAGCCCTGCCAGTTGCTTAGATGACAGTGAATAGATCCAGGAAGCCCAGGGTGACCCGAGGCTTCATCCCAGACTTGTCCCTGCAGAGCCCCACACCTGGGCATGGGCTGCAGGCCCCACCTGGGTAAACCGGGGAATGGGAGGTGCCAGGACAGAGAGGGCAGAGCCGGGGGGCACCCTGCGGTAGATCCCTGGGGCTGCGGTAGCAGACTGCCACCGTTCTGGAGGCCAGAAGTTCCTTCTGAGGGCTCAGAGGGAGAATCTGTTCCAAGCCTCCGGCCTGTGTCCTCGTGTGGTCGCCCCTCTGGATGTTCTGTGTCCAAATTTCTCCTTATAGGGACACGACTTACACTGGCCACCCTAATGACCTAATCCCCTCTTGGTTACCTTTGTAAAGACCCTATGTCCAAATAAGGTCACATTTCGAGGTCCTGGGGGTTAGAACTTCAACATATGAATTTTGGGGGGACACAATTCAACCCCGAATACACCCAAATGCTGGGTTGCCATGGTTACTGGTGTCAAGAGCCAGGTGCCTATACCTACAGCAGGGGGGCCCATGTCCCGCAAGGAGCAGTTGCCTGATCATAGGAAATCTGCATCCGTGGGTACAGCTGATTATGGGACGTGGGCAGACAGCTGGAGTATGTGGGACAGGAAGCGTGGCAGGGCAGGGGCAGGCGAAGGACGGGAGAAGAAAGTCCCCTGTGCACACCTGTGCAGGTGCATGGACTTCCCAGGAAGACAATATGCCTTCAGTGCCTAGGTGGTTACGGCATTTTTGCATCTTGTGAGAGGGGAGCAGCAGGGCAGGGCTGCGTGTGGGTAGCAGCGGCTATCCTGTCACCTAACAGCCTACTGTTGGGGGGGGGGCGTGCAGACAGTCCCCCTGTCTCAGAGTTGCCAGATTAGCAAACGACAATACAGGACACCCAGTTACGTTTCCATTTCAGGTCAACCACAAGCAACTTTTTAGCATTGGTGCCTACACATTGCACGGGACACACCTACACTAAAAAGTTACTTGTTTACCTGTTAGATGAGGCAGTCAGGAAAGACCCCTCCTAGGGGACATTTGGGCAGAGACCTGAATGAAACCGGGGAAAGGGGCAGTGCAGATCTGGGGGAAATACTGGAGGCCAAGAAAACAGCAGGTGCAAAGGTCATGGTTGAGGAACCACAAAAAAGGCCGGTGTGGTACGGTCTGAAATTTCAGGGTGGGCTTGTGAAAATGCAGATTCTGGGCCCTGCCTCATTTAGTAGACGTGGGGCAGGCACAGCGCTCACTGCGTTAAACTTCTCACATTTTCTGCATACAGCCCCTTAACAAGGGGTTAAGGTCAAGATCACAGGCTCAGCTACAGGTCAAATGTGTCCCCCAAAATTCATGTATTGGAAACTTGAACCCCACTGTGACAGTATTAACAGGGTGGGGAATCCAATTATGGTAGTTGAAAGGTGGAGCCTCGGAGAGGTGATTAGATTGTGAGGACTGTGTCCTCGTGAGTGGACTGATCCGTTCACGGAGTCATGGGCGTGGTTCTGATGGCTCTACAAGGACAGTGAGTGAGTGAACAGGTCAGCTTTGTTGCTCAGGCCATTTTTTCACCACGTGACACCTGCATCTCTGTAGAAGGCCCTCACCAGGTGTCTTCCCTGGACCGTGGACTTCCCGGCCTCCAAAACTGTAAGAAATAAATTTTACTCCTTTATAAATTACCCAGTTTCAGGTGTTCTGTTATAAGCAACAGAAACAGAGCAGCACAGGCTCAGAGCTGGGAAGCCCCTCAGGTGGCACAAACCTCTCCTGTCACTGATGAGGAAACTGAGTTCCAGGGGGTCTCTAAGAGCCTCCGTCCAAAAGTTTGGTCAGAGGAGAGTGTGGCCCTTGTGTGTCACCATGGAGTGCCTGGTCTTCAGTGCAAGGGTGTTTCGGGAAGGAGTCTGGGGAGCAGGCTTGTGGTTTTGGAGAAGCCCCCACCCGCTCCCCTGTGCTGGTTGCTTTGCATTTGGGGACGTCCTGCTCGGGCCTGTCTGGGCCCTGCTGACCCTCCAGATCATGCATCTCCAGCTTCATGCAGCTGCTAGGTTGTCTCCACCTTCTGGCTCCCTGGCCCCTCAACCTTTGGGAAATGCTTAAAGGTCTCACTTGAGTCCCTTGCTAGAGCTCAAGTTCATTTCTTGTTTGAAAGAACGTGAAAGAGAGAAAGACAGTTAGAGCCACTCTTGGAGCAACAGGTCTTGAAAGTTCCCCGTCTCTGCCTTCGCCAAGTGGGACCCTTCCTGAGGAGCCCTCCAGTGCCCATAGGCCTGTCTCTGCTGGCACCTCCATCACCTCCTGCCACGCCCGGGGGTCAAGGAGCAGGAAGGGGAGTGAAGGGGCCGCATCCGGGGGCCTGCACTGTGCTGGGCTGAGACACCTGCCCTGTCACATGCGTCCTGGGGCAGGGGAAGAGACGACCTCTGCAACCCGACCCGGCCCTACCCCCATCCTCCTTTGGTGAAGTACCGCAC